GGAACAGGTGCAAAGAAAGGTTGGTCAACATATCCAGGGTCCCAGGGACAATAAGTACTAGCTATTCTGGCCCTCAAGTGTGTTCTCTCCATCACTGCACTATTCTGCCTCTGAATACTTAATATAATTTTTGTCATAAATTTTTTGAAAGTTAAAAATATGCTCTACATCTTAGTTTTATTAAAGAGAACAGAGAGAGAGAGAGGGGAGAGAGAGAGAGAGAGAGAGAGAGAGAGAATATTAGGGTGCCTCCTAAAGCTGGGTATATTGACATTGGCAGAAAATGTAATCAAAGTATATATTTAAAAACAAGATTCATAAAAAATACAAAGTGAACACATGTCTAAAATGTATTTAACATCTTAATAAAGTAATTAGCAAGACAAGAATGTTAGTATAAGGAGAACTGGGGAAACAAAAATTTATATTTACTGAACTAAAGGAAGTTTGAACCGGATTAATAATTAGATTTTAAGAGGTTAACATTCTACTGGGCAGTAAAGCAATATTGCTGCTGTTTCCTTTTAGACAGAAATTATTTGTATCCCTGAACCAACTCATTTGCATTGCTGGGGGACAAGAATTATTTGCTTTCACAGAGTCACAAACGATTCCAACCAATAGCAGCAAGTGGCACAGTGAACAGAGGTCTAAATTCCTGGGAAATAAGATAAGCCTTGGGCGGACCTGCTGGCTAATGCCTAGCACTGCGCAGCCAGGGGCTCATAATCCCTCTGCCCCAAGCCCAAGTCTTGGGCAATTTTTGCTAAGAGGATAAAAATGAAAGTTCCTGAAAGGCAGACATAGTGGACCTTTACTGTTCTTTTTGATACCCAGCATCTGAACCTTTTTGTTGTCCTTTAAAGAATCCACTACTGGATGGATCTGAGGGAGACTGAAACCCAGCGGCAAGCATACAGGATCCTCTTGTCTGAGACTTTGAAACTCGGTGGAATGGCATAAAGGAGTAAAGACATTTTAATTCATTTCAGTTGTAGTAAGGGTTTCTCTGGCTGTGGCCCCTAAGCTGCTCCTATGGCCTGCATTAATATTGGACCTAACTTCCCTTAGCTCTTGCTTTTAGCCTAGGTTTTTGTCCAAGAACAACTTTGACCTCAATTTTATGTACCTTTTAATACCCTTTAATAAATTACTTTTCTTCTTAAACAGCATGAGATTATTTCTGTTGATTTTAACTGAGAACACTGGAATACAAGTAGGAATTCACATTCACCAAGGTCACCCAACATTTGTGTACTTGACCTTCCCTGATGAAATAGCTCCTGTCTCTGGATCTTTTGTACTAATCTTAAATCAATTTGTCTTTTATTTAATGGAAAATTCCTTTAGTTTCTGATTAAGAATATGTGCTGATGGCAGGTGTTTTCTACTTTAAAAAAAAAATCTGTCTTGACTCCATGTCTCTGTGAGAGTGAGAATCATTTATATGGTGATGAATGTACAAAAGTCTACATAAAATAGATCCTTTAATCTACAGTGGAAAGCTTTTTTATTACTTAAATTCTTTTATTGGTACATTTTAGGTATACAACACATTTACATTTCTCATTGGGAACTTGTACCTTTACATGATGCATCTTGGTTCTTATTTTTTCCCCATTCCTAGCCCTCCCTTCA